AGTGTGTGTGTGTGTGTGTGTGTGTGTGTGCGCGCGCGCGCGCACCTTGACAATTTTGGTTTCAAAGATATGACCGCGGTAGACCTAAGCAACATGTTTGCCACTTTTTACTTTGAATTCTACCTAAATGTGAACTTCAAAGCAAGCTTGAAAGGTTTACTGAGTGCATTTCAATGAATGCTGCATTTCACATGTCATTTCGCAAGCGGAAAACTTCAAAAGTAAATAGATTAACAAATTGTGTTCTCAAATATGCTTCAGACGTCGGTACCGTGAGGTAATTGCTCCTGAAATGTACTACAAAGGAACGTTAAGGATTGAGAAACTCGATGAGTAAAGCTAATCGAAATAACAACATCGGAGTTTGAACATGGACAAGACAAATGCCGTCTCTTCTTACATATTTGAAATTCTTTTAGGTCGTCTGATTTCGAAATGGGCAACATAAGCGTCACAAAGAATGAAAACACAATCGTAGTTTTCATGAAATAGATAAATATAGAAGGGAATTAAATTAGAAATAAAAGCGCAGACGAACAGGACAGGCAGACAGAGAGGACAAAGTGAAAACAGAATGGAAAGAGAAAGAGATTTAAAAAGTGCATTATAGTCCCCAGTCCCATAAGCTAACTCTCATTTTGTAGTCAAGTTTCTTGATCTCTTTATCGCCTCAGAATTTGTGGAGAGATGCAAGCTTGGTTCAGGATTTGCCATCAATTATGCATAGATGGGAGAGTAGAAATGTTACGTCTTCGTGGTATTGTGCTGTCACTGTTGGCTCTACTGCACTTTGCACACCCATAAAAAGTGGTATTGTACCGTCATTTGACACGCCAAAGGAGGAGAATTAAATCCATGTACTATTTCTTCAAGTTCTTGTTAGTCAGTTGTGTAAATCTGAGAACTACACTCGTATTCTCGTTTCAACAGATTAGTCTTACGTAATTTAAGAAGCACTGAATAAAAAAGTTAACAAATTTTTATTTTTCTGTTCCAAACCAATGAGGTGTTTCAAAAAATATTTGTGCTTCCACAATGCAAAAAGTGATTCTTTACAACGTTTATATCTTCTTCTTTTTTTTTTTTTTTGGGTGGTCTACGCCTATTCAAATTTTAATTTCCTGTCTGTCGAGCGTCTGATGCCAGGGTTCAAGTTAGAAACAGACTGGTCATGTTAAGACGGTAGCTTAGAGCAATGTTTTTTGTTGATTTGAGATAGGTTGTGCCACCGAAATATGGCCGTTATTGTGCCGATTAGTCTGATCACTCCTGTGTCTGAGACGATGTCAGAACGCAGCAACTCCCCGGGAACCGTGATTGTAGCTAAGTTAGTTAAGCGGAAAAGTATGGCTGTACTACTACTGTTTTCATTGGGAATGAATGTGGATGATATAAATTTAGAAGGAAGAACAATACGTTGATTAGACAAGGGTGTCCATCAACCATCCACACAGGTACGTGTGTAGGGTTGGTGTGAGTTTTGTGTTTCTTGTAGATATTGTTTATGGTCTGAGGATGTTGTTTTGGTTGGTACTGTTTTAACGTATTTTGTGTAAACGGGTTTTTTAAATCCAATCAACACAATGTAGATAATTTAAGAGACGGGCTTCTAACCCTGCCTTTTAAAGCTAACCTAGGCTGTGAGGGATAGATCCGAGCAGAAAGACCGAAATACTTGATAAAGATATCCCCCCCTCCGATATACACACTCCCCCCGAAATCCCCTGGATATCGAACTCGGGTCTCCTACGTGCTGCAGCGAAGTGGCTTACTGCTACACCACGGACGTAATTTTGTTTTGGGGCGAGATATGTTGATCGGGGTGGAAGGTCTGGTAGCACTTCACTTGATGAAAGCGAGGTCATAAAGAGCAAATTTTTCATGTATGTGTCCCCTCTTCCCCACCTCTCTGTCTCTCCCTTACCTGTCTCAAAAACGAGATTTCACCGATACCATTTGTATATTGCCTATTGTTGTTCTAACGTCTTTAATAAAAATCAATTTCATTTTTAGAATTTTCAGAGTTAACTGAAATTTGAAATAATATCATTTTTTAAATAGTATTTGCACTTAAATAAGTGTCCTATTCGACAGATAAACGTAAATACTAACAAAACCCCAGGTGAACAAACAGACACCAAACAGTTGGGCGGTCAGTCTCTGTGAAAGAGCAGTAGATGCAAGTTCGATGCCCGAGTGGGGAGAATTCTTATCAAGCATAATCCGGCTTCGGGCTGGGAACTTAACGTGTTTCATTCCACTCAGCACGAGTTGGCCCCCCTACAGGCATTTCTTAAATGACCTAAAATTGTGTCGGTGGGGCCGTTTAAACCTATATTTATATCAAACCTAATAT